GTCCTGGATCTTATAGCAGATCCTGAGCTCTGGATTTATTCTATGAGCACTTCCTTCGTGAGATCCTCCTCCCTTCTCACCAGAGCGTACCCTACCTGGCTTCGGCTGCTGCAGCCCCAAACTGGAAGTCCTCTCATTGTAATTTTGATTTGCATCTTTCTAATGAAGAGATGACATCTTGTGAAAGACATCATGCTAGGTAAAGTGGAGGGTCAGAGGAAAGGAGGAAGACCACAATGGATGGATTAGCATCGTGGCAGCAGCAATGGAATCAAGTTTAACAACAATTATGAGGATGACAGTGTTTCCTTCGCTTGTGCATAAGGTCACTATGGGTTGGAACTAACTCATAGGCACCTAACAACCACACATAGCTAATGATCATGAGCATCTTTTCATGTATTTGTTGGTCATCAGGATATCCTCTTTGGTGATGTGTCTAGTCATATTCTTTGCCTATTTTTGATGGTTTGTTTGTCTTTTTGTTGTTGAATTGTTGATGTCTTCTGTGTATTTTAAAGATAAAGCTTTTGTCACAAAGGACATTGTTAACTTTTTCACCCAAGTCTCTAGGTCCTTTTGTGAGTCTTTTGGTAAGTGTTTTGATGAGCATAATTATTTAATTTTTGAGGTCCCTGCTATGTGAATGATCACTTGTCATTTGTACATAATTAGTAGTGTTTAATAAGCTATTTATGTCAGAAATTAGGTTCCATAGATTTGTTTCTATATGAGCTTTCAAGAACTTATGGCTTTAGTCCTAAACTTTAGCTTTTTGGCTATTTTGAGTCATTTTGGTGCATGTACACTGTGAGATGTGGAGATTATTTAATATTTCAGCAAATAGATTCCATGTTTTGCCAGCACCGTTAGTTAAAGAGACTATTTCTTCCCCAGTGTATTCTGTTCCTTTGTTGAAGATCAACTAACAGTAGATGGATAGATTTACTTTTGGATTCTTAATTCTGTTCCATTTTTCTATGTATCTGCCATTGAACCTGTAGCAGGCTTTTTGATCACCATGACTATATAGTAAGTACTTTTGAAATCGGGAAGTGTGAGGTCTCCTATTTTATTTACTTCTTCAATATTGCTTCAAATATTTGGGACCTCTTTCATTTCTGAATAAACCTGGAGATTAATATTTTCATTTCACTAAATGTTATTGAAATTTGTATTGAACACTTTGGGCAATATTTACATTTTCACCATGTTAAGTTTTCCAATGCATACACATTTTTGTAGTTCTCTTTTAGTGTCTTTCACTAGTCTTTTATATTTTTCCCACAAGTGTTCTACATCATAGGTTAGGTTTATTCCTAGATATTTCTTTCTTTGCAGAGGAAGGGTGGAGAGACAGGGAAATCTATAGTATTTGACTCTGTTGAAATGTCACCTATCCCATTATTTATTTTGTTTATTTACATAGTCTCATGATTTTTTCTTTCGTCAATTTTGACATTGGTGTGTCAGTTTTATTGATCCTTTCAAAGAACCAGCATCTAATGTTGATTATTTTCTATTTTATTTGTTTCTGCTTTTACTTTTGTCATTTCTTTTTTTCTGGTGACTATCAATTTCTTTTGTTTTTCCTTTTCTAATGATATAAGTTGCAGGTCTAAGCTATTGATTTGGGCCCCTTTTTTCTTTTTTAACATATGCCTTTATTTCTATAAATTCAACTCTGAACACTGCTTTTACTTTATCCAAAGGTTTAGGCATGTTATACTTTCATTCTTGTCTGATTCTAAGGATTTCACATTTTGTTTTGAATTTCTTTTATTTTTAAAGAATTTTAAAATAATCTAATATTCAATTTCCATGTACTTATTTTTTTCCATATACTTTCTATTATTGATTCTCATTTTATAGCATTATGATCCAAGAAGATGCTTTATATTAGTTCAATGTTTTCAAAAGTTATAGAACCTTTCTTTTTCCCAAAATATGATCTATTTTGGAGACTGATAAATGTGTATTGGAGAAGGTATACTGTCCTGCTTTTGGGTGGTATACGTATATGAGGTTGGGTTGGTTGATTGTTATTTAGATCTGTATTTCTGAGTTTCTTTCCAATTGTTCTATTCATCATTGAAAGTGATGTGTAAAATCACCTATTATTGCAGAACTATCTATTTCTTTTTTCAGTGATTTTATAGTTTGTTTTATGCATTTTGGAGCTCTGTCTTTGGGTACTGAAATATTTATTATGTCCTACTAGAGTCCTGGTACGACACTGCAGGATAATGCATAGGACTGTCAGGTTAGTTTGAGCCACAAAATTCGTGGTTCAAACCCACCAATCCCTCCTTGGAAACCCTATACAAGGTTGCTGTGAGTTGAAACTAACTCAATGACACTTAACAACAACAATGACAGGACAACAGTAGCAGCATGCCCTATTAAGGAGCCATTGTAGCATAGTAAGATACAAGTTGGGCTGATAATTGCAAGGTCAGCAATTCAAAACTACCAGCTGCTATATGGGAAAAATATGAGAATTTCTGTTCTCATAAAGATTTATAGCCGTGGAAATCCTGTACAAGTTGAAATGAGCTGGAACCAAACCCAGTGTAACAATTTCCTGCAGATCACTGAGTGGGTCAGAGTTCATAGGCTGTCAGACAATATAGTCCAGTGTCATGGGAGAGGTGTTGTTGTTGTTGTTGTTGTTAGGTGCCATTGAGTTGGTACCGATTCACAATGACCCTATGTATAAAAGAATGAAACACTGCTCAGTCCAGGGCCAACTTCACAATTGTTGCCACGCTTAAGCCCATTGATGCTGTCACTTTGCCAATCCATCTCACTGAGGGTCTTCCACTTTTTCTTTGACCCTCCACTGTACCAAACGTGATATCCTTCTCCAGTGACTGGTCTCTCCTGACAATATGTCTGAAGTATAAGACATGAAGTTTGCCCATCCTGGCCTCCAAGGAGCACTCTGGCTGCACTTCTTCCAACATAGGTCTGTAGGTTCTTTTGGCAGCCCATGCCACTTTTAATATTCTCCTCCAATACCATAACTCAAAGCATCAATTCTTCTAACGTCTTCCTGACTCACCATCCAGCTTTCACATGCATATGAGGTTATTGAAAATACCATGGCTTGGGTCAGGTGCACTTGAGTGCTCAAGCTGACATCTTTGCTCTTCAACACTTTAAAAAAGTCTTGTGCAGCAAATTTGCCTAATGCAATACGTCATTTGATTTCTTGGGTGCTGCTTGCATGAGTGTTGATGGTTGATCCAAGACAAATGAAGTCCTTGACAACTTCAATCTATCAATCTATATCTGACATTTTTTCTCTGTTACTCATAAAGTTTTTAGTGACTAAATATTCGCAAGTAATTTGTCTCTCCTTCTTCCTAGTCTGTCTTCATCTGGAAACTCATCTGAAACCTGTCCACCGTGGGTGACACTGCTGGTATTTAAAATATCTGTGGCATATAGCTTCCACAATCACATCAACTCACAAACCACCACAGTACAACAAACTGACAGGTGAGTTGTGGTCATGGAAGGGTACACTCCTGATTGTGAGGACACTAGAGTGATGGTATACAGGAGTGTACACTGCCAATTGATGGGGTGATGGGGTGGGGTGTGTGGTGTGTAATATGTGGCAGCTGCCAAAGAAGTAGTGAGGCAATGGCTGGAAGTGTGCAGTGCCCTTTGATGTGGTTTAGGGTATGGGGCACAATCTGTGGGATTTTGGCAACTGAGAAGAATGGCTGGGCATACTGGATATGGGGAGGCTGGACATGCACACTGACAATTGTCTATGTATGTTGTGGACCAATGAATGGGAATGGGGCAGTGGGGTGTCACTGCTTAACAGGTGGATGGAAGTTGGGGTCCACAACTCTGGTTATCAATAGCATTGAAAAAGAGGAGGCATGTGCTCCTCTGGTTACTGGTCACTGACATGGGCACTGTAGCACTTAGATGGCAAATTGGATCATTGGTCCAACCCAATGCATGGTATGGAGGTGCTGTCCAGATTCTAGTGATTCCAGCTCTCATTCTAGGGATCTTCCCTTCCATGAGTACCTACAACCCAATGACTAAGGATCACTACTGGTGGACTCCACCCCTCCTTGCTCTATGGTCAATTAGATCTCTGGAGAGCTAAATTACCTTCTTGCATTTTCTCTCATAAGATAGCGTTCATGTTCTGCTCACCTTGCTTTGCTCTGAATTTGTTACACTATCTCAATTTCCTATTGGAGATTCAGTGAAGTTGCATTCCTATGATCTTTACTTAGTAATGCCTCTTGCTTTGTCTCATTCTGACCACATTATTCCAAATCAGGTGACAGAGACCTATGATTCACTTATCTCCTTGCTTGCATTTCCATCCAGTTTCTCCTTCCATTTGGTGTTCACTCTAATTATCCAAACTTCTATTTGTCACTCAAGGTTCCAACACTGCCATCTATACTGGTTGTACTTGGTTTCTCATACCTTTTCTGTAGAGGAACAGCATGGTATGACTAACTAAGCCACCATCTTGCTCTTCCATATATTATTTTTACATGTTATGTAAAAGTGACTTTCATGTATACCTTTGAAATATGTTATACTGGATGTGTAAATACATCTTCCCATCTGAGTAACTTCATTGTAAACACGGTTGGGGAAAGAATTATGAACAGTTATATTCATCAGGGAAATAGGAATATGGGATATTTAAAACCACACACATTGCCATCAATTTGATTCCAACATATTGAGACTCTCTAGCACAGAGAAGAACTGCTCCATAGGATTTCTGAGGCTGTAAACTTTACAACTCTCCTGGAGTGGCTGATGGGATTAGACCAGCCATCCTTTCACCTAACAAATGAGCACTTACCCACTGCACCACTAGGGCTCTATTGGAGATATTTTGAATGGGGGAAAAAATCTAGAAGATTTTGCTTTGGGAAGGAGTAAACTATTCTGAGATATGTATTTTGAATAAACAAGTGATGATTAACAACTTTGTTTCATAGATCATGGCTTTTGCTCCTAATTTGTTGCAACAAAACTCAGATACCAGCGACAGTGAAAGTGAGAATGATAATGAAACTGATAGCTCTGGAGACAATGAGAGCACTGAAAGCTTGTCCTCATTTGATCAGTCTGAAGAGGAAGATGACCTAAGTTCTGAAGGCGGAATGGAAGAACCAGCTGTTGGGCAGTTACAGCGTGAGTTGGAAATCAATGAAGAAAACCCTCTGGAAACTGAAGTTAGCACTTCTGATTTGCAAAAATTAGGTGAGGCTTTACACATGCAAATATTTTACTATGAATTATATAAAGTACAGCTACATAGTTAAAGGCAGACCTCTGAAGAACGTAAAAATAGTTTCATGTCATCTTTTGGAGTTGGAATAGACTGTATTGCAAATGGTTTCATCTAGCAGCTGTCTTATAACATAAACATA